GAGCTGACATCCTTTCGCTGCTGCGGTCTTCACTTCGGGTGAGACATTTTTGCTGTCGGCGGCCCCTTCTTGGGCTCACTGATGAGGTATAGAGCCTCACAATTGGGATAGGAGCGTAGGGGTATTGGTGTTTTGTTGGTCAGATTTGCTGACGCTTTCTGAGTTTGAGTGTGTTTGCTATTTCTCCTGTGTCCAAATCTCTATGTGATGCTTCCCATAGAAGAAATAATAGGGGTATTGGCTGCTTATACCAGCACAGGTCAACCAGAACCTGATTCCCTTCCCAATGACAGCTCTGATCACACGGCCAGATGACTCTAACTCATTACCCAATGACAGAGAAGACGAAATAATCTTTGGACCGGAAGGTAAGCAAAGAGACGAACCTACAATTAGAAAGAAAGTCCCGCTGCGTAACCCATTTCAAGCCATCCCCCGGAACCAGGCCTATCCACACCAATTTCGGCAACCCCAGTTCTCCCAAAGCATTTTTTGCCCAAACTATCCGCTAAAACCCTAAACCCTAAACCCTAAACTCTAATCCCCCCACTAGGATCTGAAACCACAATAGACTACTGGTTTCAACTACTAGGAAGCCCTCTCTGCTGTCATTTTCATTATGACCCCCATGCATCAAAGGGCTCAAACGAACAGGGTCGTAAAGGTTTTTTGCAGCCCTTACAAGGGTTGGTTTAACTTCAAAGTCAAAGTCGCTCAGGGAGTTAGGGTAACAGTATGATCAACCTAGGAAAGCATGCCAGTAAGTAGGACAGCCACACTCTAGTTATCTAAGCAGATCCACAGCAACCAGGACGAGCAGGCACGAGGCAGGAAACCAATTAGCACTACAGACGTAAGCTATAAGCAGTCTCCATGTCACCGGAGCAATCCAACTGAAAAGTAAGTCAATTAGGCCAGATTATGCAGGGGCGAGTGGTGGTATATCCTTCCCAAGGGAAGTAATCAATGCCGTCTGCTCGGGCCTTCCAACCATAACGGGGAGAAGCGTAGGGTAAGTAGTAAGTACATGATGTATTCTTTTTGACTTGCCAGTGGAATAGGAACCGGATTGAAGCTCCCCAGGATGGAAATGGAGCCAGGAAAGCGTAGGGTAAGTAGTAAGTACATGATGTATTCTTTTTGACTTGCCGGTGGAATAGGAACCGGATTGAAGATCCCCAGGATGGAAATGGAGCCAGAAAAGGTAGGGTAAGTAGCAAGTACATGATGTATTCTTTTTGACTTGCCGGTGGAATAGGAACTGGATTGAAGCTGCCCAGGATGGAAATGGAGCCAGAAAAGCGTAGGGTAAGTAGTAAGTACATGATGTATTCTTTTTGACTTGCCGGTGGAATAGGAACCGGATTCAAGCTCCCCAGGATGGAAATGGAGCCAGAACCATATGGTTCTGTTTTTCTGTAAAAAAAAAAAAAAGTGATGCTTGCTTAGCCTTGCTATGCTGGTGAGCTCACTTTGTCCTTGTAATGTGTTTTCTGTGTCCTGGGCGGGGTAGAGTCGTAAATAGGTAGAGCGACAGGGGCAGGACTGAAATTGGACACCGACCCAACATGGTAGAAAGTCTACGAGGGACAAGCGCAAAGTGGAATTGGGTAGGCACCTGATAGGATTGTCCAACAACTAGGGCAGGCCTAGAAAAAAAGTTTGGTAAAGGGCTGGTGGCTTCCAAAGAGGTCATGATGTCCAGGGCCCTTCTATATATATACATATATGTATATATATACATATATACATAAGGTTAGGTACAGGCCCTGAAAGTAGGTTGCATATTCATGTTCCCGGCCAAAGGCAGAGACTTCCGGTACGCCTAATGCACTGGTAGAGGCTGAAGTGCCTGGCGGTAGAGGAACCAGAAACGCTGAAGTCATGAACATATTATTCAGTGCAATGAGTAGGTTGTTACTGTGGGAGCATCTCACGATTCTAACCCAAGGAGAACTCAGCGTTGACGCACAGACTCCTCGAGATCATCTCAAAAAATGACTGTGAATGAGCATTGCACCCATACACCTCACAGAATATTACTGCTTCATCGCCATATTCCTGTTGTGTGGATGAATGGTTCACACCTACCTTGGAACTGTTGACCCAGACGAGCGGAGTTCAAGTCCTGTCCAGTTACATAATGCTTGTTGACCACTACCGTCTTCACCCGAATAGAACACCCGATCATTATAGCTGTATTAGGGGCAAAATTCAGTCTGGATACAGTCGTAATGACCGGCCGTTCTATTCGGGTGAAGAGGGTAGTAAATTGGGTTGTCCGCGTGGATAAGCGGTTGCTGCCTGGTACCCTCTAGAGAGAAGAGCATTGCAATCCAGAGATAAGAGATTGTGACTCACAGCTTTGCCAACTTTGTGTATAGAATGATCGATGTGCGATGAAAGCGTAAAGAAGAAAGGCAGCAAGGTCCACCCAGGAGGTAGGAACAGGAGAAGGAGGAGTGGAAGGTTCAAAAACGGCTCACTGGAGAATGAATGTGGCGACGCGGAGGATATGTACTGAGGGCAGTGAGGGGAAATGAGGGTTTAGGGTTCACAAAGGCTCACTGGAAGGAAGGCGGGGCTGGAGAGGATACACATTGTAGGTACTGAGGGCATATACACTGATGACCTTTTGGACTGAATGTAGCTGTAGATACAGCTATAAACATCTGGGAAGGACTTAGTCTGAGTATTCCCCCTGATGCACTGATGCTCTTTTCAACTGAGTCTAACAGTAGTTATGGATATTTGCACCTAGGAAAGCCTTAGTGTGATTATGCGTCGAGATTCCTTGAGAGAACCTCTCTGAGAGGGAGCCAATGATTATCTGACTGATGAAAGAAAATGGGAGGTATCTGCTGAGCATGCCAGCTACTGTCTTCCCCCAAATACAACGTGTGCCAGCTGTATGGTCATTTTTTTACCTGTATTTGGGGCAATTTCCAGTCCAGATGCAGGGACAACGACCGTACAGAACGTTGTCCGTACGTTCTACTCGGGGGAAGATGGTAGTGGCAGCAACTGTAATCCTGAACATACCATAAAGACAGTACAAGAAAACTAAACCAGTTAATAATACCCAGCAGCGAAAGTAGGGCATGCTTCTACATTGGTGAACAACGTATATGCAGAAAAGGAAGGAAGATGAACAGAAGCTGTGAAAAAAACATGTCAAGAACTGATGAACAACCATGAGGAGAGTATCAGAAAATCAAATTAGTACCGTCTTCACCTGAATAGAACGCCCGGTCATTACAGCTGCATCTGGACTGAAAGTTGCCCCAAATACAGCTACAATGACCGGGCGTTCTATTCGGGCGAAGACGGTAGTATCTGGTGGTTACTCGATAAATGGAGAAAAGGGGATGGAGAGGGAGAGGTGAAGGAGAAATATATGCTTTATGGTGAAACACTTCACAAGAAGGACACACGCAATGATTGCTTTAACCGCCAGCACACGGGCCCGGCCTCGCTGAAAATGCAACTCACAGCCTACAAAATTTTCGGAGGCTCGGCGGTTCGGCCTCCCGGGGACCACAATGGATGGCAGCGCCAGCCAAGAAAGAAAGAAAGAAAGTGCGCCGCTGGCGGCTCGGAAAAGCTTGGCGCGGAGTTAGTCGCCTCCAGGCCTGGGTGTACTGGTGGCGTAATCACCTGACTAGCAGGCCAATGGTTTTGGAAAAGGCAAACTTTGTCTGGCAACTATGGCAAAGACTAACCCATAGGCTCTTTTCCTGATGCATGCCTTCATCAGCAGCATCCTGCTTACTTTGGAGACCATGTTAGTCAATTAAACTTGTGTGGAAGAAGTTTCTCTGAGATAATCGGAAAAGGTGTTGTGTGGGTGGCCTGATGCAAAGCAGATCGACGCCATCTTCCATTTAGCATTTCGATCCGCATTTTGGATCAGGACAGCGAAAGGAGAGTACCAGCAGTTATGATTGGAACTGGTCCCAATACCAGCAGATATGATTGGAACTGATCCCAATACCAGCTGATATGATTGGAACTGGTGGTTCCAATACCAGCAGATATGATTGGAACTGGTCCCAATACCAGCAGATATGATTGGAACTGGTCCAAAGACCAGCAGATATGATTGGAACTGGTCCAAAGACCAGCAGATATGATTGGAACTGGTCCAAAGACCAGCAGATATGATTGGAACTGGTCCCAAGACCAGCAGATATGATTAGAACTGGTCCCAATAC